CTCCCTCAAGTGTTAATCCAATGTGTATCTGCCTTGCAGCAGCATCTGAGATTGACTTCCACAGTGATCAGAGCGAACAGGGAAAAATGGTACATTTACTTAATTTACTTCAGTGTCAAAAGCACAGATACATTTCTCTTTTACATTAAGGAACATGTGCATATAGTTTGTTACAGCCTGATGGAATTTAATGGAATCTTCAATTGTAGACAATTGTAAAGTGCTTTGTTCAGTCTGTGAAAGACTTTATGAATAAAAAATACTTTCTTATTTCATATGATAAATTGCTTGTCATTTAAAACTCAAATATCATCAAATTACAATAGATTAAACTTAAAGTCATTCAGTTTGTCATGTTTCAGTTTATCATCATACTTTCAGCATGTGAACAGAACAAAAATGTAGTTGAATCGTAATCGCAATATTCATGTGAATGGCAGATGTGGCTTGTATGGTGATGTGAAACCCCTAGAAACACCAGGTTACACAGTGGTAAGGTTGTAATATATATATTTTTAACTTAAAGATTTTTTGCCTTGGCGTTTTGGTCTGCTTGTGTTTCATGCAGACAAATGTAGTGCTCCCCATACTCTGTTCTCTGCACTAAATATAAATGTTGAGTAGAGAAAAATAAGACCCGGAGGAGGGGGTGACCCAACGCCGCGAGGTTGATATGGTTCAGGGCTGAAACTCTCACTGTATGAAGGGTCTGTCTGTTAACATCCTTTTCACCAATGGTAAAAAGATTTCAAGTATAATGTCAAATAACACAGGCCATATTTTACACGTTGGTATACCTTTATGTGTTTTCCATGTGAATCTTTGGTCATCCTGTTAGTATTTGAGTTTTAAGTAGAGTGTTGTGTAGACAATGGCCTCCTTCTATGGCAACAGTTATCTTTTCTGTCATATTTACTGTATTTACATACATACTGTACTTTAGTGTATGTTAACTCTTTCTATCCACAGGCTGGATAAGATAATACGGTATCTAAAAAGCAAATTAAAATTAGCTTTTTTTTGTTTACAGGTAACATCTTGATATAATCTGATCTATGTTGCTTGGTTATTTTATTGTTGTTATAAATGTTAAGATGTTGAAGGTATTCTTATGCTTGCAACAAGTATTTTTGTTAACAATATTGCTCACTTACTATAAATTACATAATGACATTGATGCACTGTGTGGCTTATGTAGTTGACATTCAAATGATTACTGTTGTGCTGAGAGGTGAAGGCTGCCTGCTTGTACATGATAGATTGGTGTGACAAATACATACATGTAATAAAAAAGCGTCATTGTCTTCAGCTTTGATGATTATAGTGCTGTGGCTAAAATGCTGTATGAGTGGGGTTAAAATTGACAAATGAGCATATGTGAGGATAGAGTGGAGCAGTTCTGCGCTGAAGCGAGTGGTTCACAGACCAATGGGTTGCCATGGAGACGCACAGTCAGATCTGCGCCTTCGCTCTGCTGCTCAGTTAATTACCCACTGACTGCTGCACTGATAAACATGGACGAGTGAAGGCCTCCACAGTGACATCATAGCAGCAGTAGTTGCATGTACATGTACAAAATGTATTTTTGGACATCAATGTAAGGCTCCATGACAATGCTTTTATGGAATAATGTGTACTACAGTTTCCATCGTGTCTTCTTTCCCTTTTACTATGAAAAGCTTTAAAAAAAGAAAAAACAGCACTTAATTTTGTTTACTGTACCCGCATTCCTGCTATCATCATCAGACTAAATCCAATATAGGTCAAATTTCCAATTATGTAATCAGCCAAATCCAGGCCCCACATATGCCCACATACACAGAGCAAGCAGATGGGAGGAGTCCAAGAGAGATGATGCAACCAGCTGTGCACCTTTTAGTTAAACCAATATCAGTGTTTCAACAGCGAACCGAGGAGTTCAAGACGACAAGTGTGTGATGGTCCCATGAGCTGCTAAAGTCCATATATGAATTCAGTTACAAATTTTATTTGAATGTCATTGCTGTTTAGTTAAATATTATTACAAAATCCCAATCTTTTAAGATTATGCCATTGTTTAAAATAGCAAGAAATTGCAAACATATTTTTACTTGAAATATTTGAATTTGTGACTCAATTTTTTTTTTCCCAGTCAATTTTAATTTATCTTCAATAACAAAACAAATGAAAACGCGTACACACACACATACACACACACAAACACGCACACAATCCTACCTATATAACGCCAATAAAATAACACTTACATTGTAAACTAAAATCCAAAAAAAACCTGGTAAACTACAATTCCGATCTAAAGTGTGGTTTGATCTTTAGAGAATAGTTATATTTTATTTTAAATTTGTTGATCATAGTAGATGAATCAATATAATGTTGGAAAATGTTTAGCCCGGAGCATGTCCTGTGCTTATAGAGAATGGGCAATCCAGCTCCCTGAATGGAATATTGATAACCTAGGTGCTGTGTGTTATGAAAAAACATTGATTAAGGCTTGGCATATGTTTAAATTGCATATACCAAACTGTATCTTACTCTCTTTAACACCTCTAAACAACTAAACTAACAAATTAATTACTACTACTGTACTACTGTGTGCGAGAAGCGTATGAGGGACATTTTGAACGAAGACATGGTCACATTTGGGTAGAGCAATAGAACTTTGTGGTATTCTGGCATACAGTGTTGGGAACTGTGAAATGTGTGTGTTTTAATGAGATCCAAGTCAGCTTTGTTCATTTAATTTACAATTTCCTGAAACTTCTAATTCATCCATCACCTTTTCACCCAAAATCACCTGACAATTTTGTTAAATTTAGTAGTTGTTCAGATTAATGTGAAGGAAAGCCACATTCTGTGTTACATGTGTCTCATTCCCAAGTCGTTTCATGTCTGATGCTGCCCAAGTTAAACCTTTTATTAGTCCAAAATATTGATCATTGATTACAAATTTTGGTAGACCAAAGCATCAGTGACAGATTTATCAACTTAACAACAAAGTTTTACAAACTAAATTTTTATCCCACGGAGTCTGGAAAATGTGCTGCAGTTCAAGGCCTCTTTGTCGGTGCCCTGATTTATTCATGATGTCTCTTGCTGTGTTATATGCCATGTCCACACATAGCCGGGTATTTTGAAAACCGAATATTTCCCCCCCCCTCCGTTTATAAAATAATTTGCATCCACACATAACCGAACATCTGCGTTTTCAATCACATTCATGACATGTGCGTCCTCTGACGTCCTGGGTTGGGTTGGGTCTTATTATTGGGTATCGGTTGCTCTTCTATAATCTCTTTTTCTCTCTTCTTTATTTCACCTCTCTCTGTTCATTCGAACTCTGCTAATACATTTATCAGGGGAGATTCTTACGTTATATTATCTAATTTCTTGGTATCTGATTGTCTCTCTTTCTTCTTTTCTGTCATTTTATTTTAACGTGGGGGGGGACTACTCTCTCGGGGGGGGGGGGGATCTTTTTCGGGGTGGTCTATCTCTATCTCTTATGTACTCGGGGTGGGGGGGGGTACTGTGCGATCTTCGTCTTTTCTAGTATCTCTCCTACCATCGTCTTTTTCGATCTCTTTGTTCCCCGTATGTGTCTTTCTCTCCACTCAGTCTCTCTGTGGGTTTCAGCTTCATGCATCTTTCGTTCTTGTTATACTTGCATCTTTTTTCTTCGTTTATTCTGGAGGGGGTCTCCTTTCTCTCTTCTGTTTTCTCAAGGCAGTTTTCTGTTCTATCTATCTTCTTCGGTGGTAGTTTTCTTTCTTTGAGTAGCTGTCTCTAAAAAGGGGGGGGGAGGGGGGGGGGGGGGGGGGGGTCCTTATCCAGGCAGTCTCTGAGGTAATCCTTGATCGTCATTTCCTTGTTCTGAAAATAGCGTTATCTTCGATCATTTGTCTGCGTAGGCCGGGGGGCCGGTGCGCTTTTTTGGTCTGTTGGCTCTATTTTCTTACTCTTTAGATTTGTTCTTAAGTCGGAGGTTTCTCTCATATCTTCATAATGCGGTCCGTTCTCTATCTCTATCTTCTCATCTCTAGGTGTTTTATTCGCTCATTCTTAACAATCCTCATTCTAGAATTGTCTCTTTCGGTCGGGGTAAGTTTATCTGATATCGTATGCGTTCTGTCTTTTATTCTCTTTGTGATACACTGATTCAGTGTTCTCTTTACTCTATCGGAGGGGCTTGGATATTCTCGTAGCTGTTAGTTCTTCTCCGAGTTCGTTCTCCCTCCGTCCTCTAAGACCTTTCTTCTTGCAGTTTTTATCTAATATCCTTCTACGACATCTTGACGTCAGTCGATCAGTGCTCTTTTCGTATTCCTTTTGAATTCTCTACTTTCGGTTCTCTTATCTTTACGTCTCTCATATTCTTATCTTTTGTCCTATTCCATTCTACTTATCGGAGTGTCTTTCTTTCGTCCTAATTCGGTATCTTCATATATCTTAACTGTGCTCTCCCTTATTCTCTTTCTCGCATCGCTCAGGTAAATCTGTTTTCGTTCTTCTTCTTTCTTTAATTATCTCTTCTGCTATTTCTTCTATTGATGTCATGTCTTTTCTTTTCGGGTCTGCTCCTCCCGTTTTGAATCTTCTTTTTTCTTTTTTCTTTATATTATAGATATCGTATAAGATAGCATCTTCTCTCTCTCCCGGCCCGCACTAGTCGTCCCCGCCCACAACAAATAGAGGGAGAGTAACTACCCGAACGCCGCGACGGAACCACCCCATGCATAGCGAACCCGGCTCACAGGGCCGTTGTCCATCAAAGCACCACACACACACACTCCCCGCCCCCAAGCCCGAGTTTTAGATCGGGGCGCCGCGGCCCCCCGGTCGCCACGCCTAGCCCATCCCACGAGGGCCCCCCCCACAGCACGCGGTCTCCGCGAATACCGACCCTCTGACCCCGAACCCGACCACGCCTGTTTAACCGCAAGGACGCACCTGGACGTCGGCACAACCCACAGACGTGCCCGAGTCCAGGACCACCAAATTAGATGACTAGCCACAATAACAGCCCCCGGGCACCGACTCACACCCTTCTGGATGTAGCACAATACCATGTACCTACACGCCCACCGACCGCAACCTCCCTTCACTACTACATAAGCCCCCCCACCGAAAACAGCACCGAAGTCCCCTCGGCTCGCCACCCCCCCCCGACGCACCTCCCTCACTCCCTAGCGCCCTCCGAACCACACCGCCTCGACAGGTGCACCCTGCATACACGGTCCGCTTCCCCCTGCGAACGGCGGCCCCATGTAGCCAACTAGACCCTCGCCCACTATCAGAAACCGAAGCCTCTCCGCCCACTCGCTCCAGAGGCAAACCACACAAACAAATACGGGGTAACCGTAATGTAATAAGCGGACTACACCCCAACGCGCCAAATCGGAGACCCCGAAACCCCGCCAGCACAAAGCCCGTGCGACTTCCCGCAAGGGCTGCCCGGCAACTCGAAACACCTGCAGGACCGCAGGCGGCAGGACCTATCCCCCCGCACCACGGCCACTCCAGGCGCCCACAGCCGAACGATTCCCCTGTCCTCAGCACGCCTCCCCATTCCCGCTCACTCGTCATCTGCCACTCGATCTCGTCCCAAGGCGATCCCCCCCCCAGTCCATCAGCCAAAGACCGAAGTTACTAGCGCCAAACAAAACCCGTAGCCGATCACCCATACCGAGAGCTAACGTCGTCACCCCCACGACTCCCAACCCCCTTCTCCTGCGGCTCGCCCGAGCCCGCCCCTTCACCGGCCCTCAACAAATCGGTCGCCGCCTATCCGCTTCTCTACATTCACTCGCGATGAACCCCAGTCCCCCGGCAGGGCCCACACTATCCGCCCCAACAGCACGGCGGCACGCGCGTACACTCTCTTTCCTAATCTATCCGGGCCCGTCCCTCTCCGCCACCCCCCAAAACCGCCGGGCCGAGCTCGCGACCCCCGAAAACCTGACGAACCGGGGGGGCCACCTACCGATAAAACCCATTACCTTTCGTCCTCCACACGATCCGGGCCATTCTCAGGAAGGAAAGCTTCGGTCAGGACATCCGCGAATCTCTCCCACCTTTCATGCCACCACCTCCGGCACCACAACTTTTCCGACTAAAGCAAGGCGGGTAAACCTACCCCCAGCCACGTCCGCCTTCTCTCCTACCCCGTCCCCATCACTACAGCCATCACAGTCCCTCCCGCCACCGACGGCTAGGGGCAACCACCCATTCCTGACCACACCACCCGTAGCTCCCACGCCCCGACCCCCGCCTCGACAAGCCGCTCCTCTCCCTCGCCCGCTCCTCACACACCATTCCTGGACTGACCCATAACCCCCGGCACCTCCTGTCCCTGAAACATCCCCCCGACCGACGCCACCACCGAACCCCCCACCGCTCCCCCCCCCCCCTAAAAATCACCCCCGCACTCTACCGCAGCACGGCCAGCCCCCCACCGGCTACGCGCACCACTCCACAAGCCCACCCATAAACGTACCCACCTTCCAGGAAGGTCCGGCCCGGCCAGCACGTCGCCGCACAAAAGCGCCCCTCAAATTCCGGCGACCCCAACGGAACCCCACACCATCGCCGACCCCTAGAGCGAAAGACACTACAGCAACGCAGTGCACCTCACCGAGCCGAGTGCCTCAGCCCGCCGAACCGAACGGCAGGATGCGGACCGAGCTAAGTTAGTAAGGAAAGCGGCTACAGCCAGATCCCCCTAACCACCCCCCAGGCCCACACCAGACCAACACACCGCAAACCTAGTCTCCCCACCGCTTCCGGGTAACGACATCAAGCCCACCAAATCTCCCGCTCTTCAACGCCACTCCAAGATACTCCAACGCCTCCGTTTCGCTCCCTCGCGGCTAGTCACGCGCTACCCCCCGCAACCGCTCAGCGTTCCATGTCCCCCACGGTCTCCCCAACATCATCTCCCGTCCCTTGCCATCTCCTGCCGACGCACGGTCCGCCCCCGCTAGGCCACAAATGATACACCAACCGCACGCCCCCGAGCTCCAACGTGTGAGAGTCCTCACCAGCCTCCTCGACAAGCCAAAGCGAGAACCCCCCATCCCACCCCAGTCTCGCCGGCCCAGTCCCCCTGCCAGTCCACACTCGCCCCATGTCCACCCCAACGCGCCAGCTTCAAATCGCAAACCCGATCACCCAGCAACCACCCTCAGAGCCTCGCTCAACAGCCCCCCCAACTCACCGCCACCCCGAACCTCTCCGGCCCCTATCCCTCAGCAAACCCATCTCCCCGACACTCAACCCGTAAAACCGCGCCATCGCACCCCCCTCCATAACAGTCCCACCTCTCCGATCCCACACACAACGCGACTCTCCTTCGTCCGTTCTTCAAAAATCCACGCGCCGCCCAACCCTCATTCCTACACGATCTCCGCTTTCCTCATCATTAACCCGCTCGGCCCAACCCCCTCCATCGGCGCGGTCGACACCACTCTCCCTCTGGTCTCTTCTCCCACTCCCAACCACCACCCCACTAACACGACCTCCCGGTAACCAGCACAAACCCCTCCTCCGCAAAAAAGCTCAACAGGCCACTGCCGCCCAGCAACAGTACTTCCCTCGTCCGTCACCCCCTCCCGAACCATAACCCCGCATCTCGAAACCTTCGACACCCCAAACGTCCGCCACATCCCATCTCCTTTCCTCCCGCTCCTCCCGATCGATCGGCGTCGGGGCCAAATCTACCTCACACGTCCCCAGGCGCCATCCCCCCTCCATCCACTCCGCCTCTCACTATCCTCTCCACTAGACACGGGCTGTCGCACCCGCAACCTCGCAGCCGCTCCACCCCTCTACCCCCCTGTCCACATCTGTCTCACCCTCTTCTCCAGACCGTACGCCGTCCAAACTCCGAACCCGATACGCCTCACCCCGGCCCCCACCCGGCGCCCCGATAGCGAGAACCCTGGCCCAGCGCCCCAGGAGAACCAATCCCGTGGCAACCCACGGTACTCGCCCCTTTCCGCCCGCGCGCCCTCCAGCCACCCCCCCTCGCACCCATGACCAAGGATCCAAACACACCTAAACGCCCCACGGACATCAGCGCCCCCCCGCCCCCACCCGGGAGCACGTCCCATCCCTCGCTATTTCTCTTTCGTCATCCCCCGTCAAAACCAACACCCCCCGCGAGCCAAACCCGCTACGCCCAAAACAAACCGCATGACGGGCACACACACTCACTCGCATGCCTAGCCAAACACTAGGACTATAGTAAACCTGCTCACCCCGGGCCTGACCGCCCCCACCGCAGACGCGACCGCACTAGCTTTAGGCCGCCGGCTCGAGCGCTCGCACCCCCCCTCGCCAAACTCACACAATCCTCCCCCCCCCTCCCGGGCATCTCCCCGCGGCCCGAACTCAGCCGCTCATCCCACTTCACCATCAGACGGCCGGACACAAAACGCGAACCCCTTCGATACAGCCCTCCCTAATCGTCATGCCCAACCACACACCCCCCCACCCCCCGCGCCCAGCCCCACACGCTGAACGGAATGTCCCGGAGCAACGGCACCCCCTCTCTCCCGGCTCCTCCACCTCTTCCTGTTCCCCCCAAAGTCTCACTCCTCCTCCTCCTCTAGTCACCAACCGCCATGCCTCCCAGTCGTGCCCCATCACAACCACCCAATATATAATGGTACGCCGACCCCAACGAATCAACGGCGCAACCCGAAGCTAACCATCTCAAGTCCCAAAAGCCTCCCCGGAAAGAGAGTACCTCCGTTGACCGCCGTAGAGACGCCACCTGTACAGACCCAGATCGACAGCGCCGGTCGAGGAACCACTCTATGTGGATCTCATCAATGCCACAGGGACCAGCGGGAGAGCCACACAAGCAACGTCTCACTAACCCTCTTCCGTCGCAGCGCTCCCCCAATCTTTCCGGGCACGGCGCGTAATACACCAGGACCCAACGCGCCGAATTCACCCCCCCCGCTTACCCTCAATCCAACCGAAGCGCACCGGAACACCCCTCCAGCGGCCGCCGAAGCTCCCCCCAAGACTATCGCCGTTTCTCCGTCCGCGCTCCTCCCAACTCAAACCAAGCCCGGACATCCCTCGACCCCGAACATCAACGCAAACAAGCGAGCTACACCCAAGCGACGCGAAAAGTCCGCCCGCGGGGCTCGCCGAGGCCACCGAGCTTCCCAGCAGTATGATCATCCCTTCTCTCCCCACTCCAACCTCCCATTCCCTTGGCCCCCAAAATTCCAACTCCACTGTCTCGCTCCAATCCTCGTTTCCTCTCATATCGAGCTTCAACCGTCATGACACCACCGGACACCCCCGATCCACCGTCACCCCACGGCCACAAGCGCCCCAGAAAGTAAACCGAGCATCCACGCCCCACCGCAGCGTACGCTGCCGCCAAGTAGCGATGTTCGAAGAGTCCGCGCGGGTCCCAGCACTCCCCCGCGCCGGCCATCCAGGAAATCTCCGCCAACAGCTCCCACACTCCTCACCCCTGCCAACGGCCCGCGCACGATTTCGGTCCTTCGCCAACACGCCTTAACAGTATGAACTCCGCCAAAATCTCAAAGTGCAACAACGCGGGACTCTCCCATCCAACGACACAACCCCCCGCCCCTTGGTCGACCGTCCGCATCTGGAACCCCTTCCGCTCTCCTCGGACAGCCGACCTCACAACACAAACCCACTACCGCAGTCACCCAGACCCGACCGCCCCACCAACACGAAACGCGGCCAGAGCCTTTCCTCACGCCGAACCGACGCAACCAGATTCACGCCCCCCCTCGACCTAATGTCAGGAGAGCCCACACAGCAGCCCACGACCTCTCCCTCCCAACCCAGCCCTCACGACACAGCCGAGAAGCACCACTCCCGAATACCTCCCTCTCCGCACCCCCACCCCACGTGACCGCTCCCTGAAACAACTCAACCGCGACACAACCCCGCGGTCCACAGCCGCGGCCCCGAACCCCCCCTTCCCCCCAGGAGCCCTTCGTATCGCGCGCACCATACCCACAGATGCCGCCCAAGGAACCACCGACACAAAAATAACGCCCACACCCAACCCACTCCACAGAACAAGCCCGATAGTCCGCCCACGCCACCCATAACGCACTGCACACCCCGGACTGAAACTCCCCCAGCGACGCGCACAAGCCGCGGCTATCGACACCACAGCCCAGAACCCTCCACGCCACCACTACTACCCAGTTCCGGGCGCCTGCGAGACACAGAACCCGATGCCTCCCGAAAGAACCACCAGTCCGTAGGAGTTCCACCAGGACCACCTGAGACATACCCATGGTAACATGTTACACTCCCAGCCCCGGGGTCTAACCGATCACAACCACGACCCTTGCACCCCCGTCCCTGTAATCCTAGACCAGTCACGACGTAAAGGACATCCTACAGACCGCCCAACCCCCGTTAACAGGCACGCCCTCCCAAGTACCCAGGGTAGACGCCGTAAATGAACACCTTCCCTTTCGCCCCGCAACGCAAGACCACGGACCCCCCTCGCTAACACCGAAACAACACACCTCCCCATCCCCCCGCTACGGCATCCCCGAGTTCTTCGCACGCGACAGCAAACCCATCGTGCCCGGAGAGACCCCAAGAACACTTAACACAGCGGGACAGACGTCCCCCAGGCGCCACCAAGCTCCCCACCCCCGAAGCCCTCAAATATCCCTCTCAGGCGGCACCCCACAGATCCCGGCCCCCTCAGAGAGCTCCCAGCACATTCACCCCCACCCCCACCAGATTCCTCAACCCCCCAAGCACGCCTCATCCAGCACTTGTGTACTTCTCTCCATCACAGCACCCTCCCCGCCAACCCACCCCACGACGATTCAACTTCCAGACCCGACCCTAGAGGCACCGCACCTCCTCCCGGTCTAAACACCTACGACTCCTCCCACCCACCCAGAAATGGGAACCACGTTCCAAACCCACCCTGTCGTTCGACGGTACCCTCCCATCCGAATCACCCCAGCCGACTTCTTCCTCATCCCCACTCGCCCAGGCACGACCGCAGGCGCCGGGCCACGTCTAGCCCGCTACCCTCTCCGCTGACAATCAGATCCAGGTTTACCTGCGAAAACGACCCTACCGCTAGCACCGCACACCGCGCCTCAACCTACACACCCCCATCGACGCCGGGAACGCACCCCCACCCCTCTGCCATCAACCCGCCGCCCCTCTCCCTCGTCTCCCGCCCTTCCTCCACCGACAAGGCAAGCCAGCCCCATTAATAACCCCCCACTGCCCAAACCAAACACTCCACCCCAACGACTATACATAGGTCCAAGGGTCATCTCCCCTCACCGCCGCTTTTCTCCCCCGACCCCCTATCTTCTCCCCGCACCAGTCTTTTCAACTCAGTCTATTCATCCCGCCCCCCTCTCCTCCCCACCGCCCTCGCTACACTCAATTCTGAACCAAACTCCGAACCACCATCACAAATATTCACTTGGGCAGCGCCCCCCACACACCGATCGGCGACTCCCTCGCCATCCCCTCCCCACCCCCACCGAAAACACCCCTCTCTCGATCCACCCGAACACAACAGACTCTACCGCACCATCATTCCATCTAGCCACCTTTCCTATCATCCCTGTATCATCCGTGCCCCCCCCCAACGACAGGACCGCAACCGCTGCCGAAGACCAGTTGTCACCAAACGTAGGGACGACCAACCGCAAGCCCCGAATGTTCCCCAATCCTGCCCAACCCCCTGACTCACCGCCCCCCAGGACGAATCACATGCAGGCTCGCGTGACACCTCATTCCACCCCAACACCAACCCAGAACTACGCCCCCCCCCGCCCTCCTTCACTCAACCCGTGCCACCACGCGCGACCCCGCCAAAAACACCAAGAGGTGCGGTCCACTGACCACTCGCGAGCGGGGCCACAGCCTAAAGCCGGCACGGGTTGCACAACCACACGGTCCCATGGGATCCAGTAATAAACGGCAACCCCACACCAACAACATCTCGGTTCCGAGTTCCACACCCACGGTTCCCCTAGTCAAACGGACCCCCTGAGCCGACACAGACTCGCGGAGAAGGTGACCGCAGCCATATCGAACCGCGACGCCTGCGGCCCACCCCGGCTTCTGCACACCCACCCAATCACCCCGCACACCATACCCCCCCGACAATCGTCCCTCCCTAACCTATACAGAGCCCGCTCCGCGCGCAAATGACCACGACCCCCGGACCCTGCAAACAGCTGCCACAATAAAACACAGCAAACAACGATTACCGCATGCCCACAGCCAAAGCCATGCGAACCAAGCGCCGTACGACCGAAACCTCGGGACTCCGACCGACAGCCCCCCACACGGGTGCGCCAACAACCGGGCATGGCTAGGGGCCCCCACGGGGATCCAAGGGGAAGAACAACCCCCTCCCACCCCCTTCTCCCCTCACCCAACACCCCCAACCCCCATGCAACACAACCCCCCCCCTCTCCACCAAGCCCCAAACTTCCCCGCTCGGGGAATCCTCCCCGCTCTCCTCCCCACTTTTACCCAATAAGCCCTTCCTACCCCCACATCTTCCCCTTCTCCAACGATCCGTCTTCTCTCGCCCACCCCCGTCACTAGCCCACCCCTCCCCCTCTCCCAATCCCATTCGCTTCATCGAAGCACTTCGGCTTCCCCGCTTCGCCCCGCTACCGCCCAACAGGCCCAGCACCATTTAGAGGTCACGATCCCACCGCAATCCAAGTCCCACTCTCGCCATCAGTGCGGCTTCCGATGTCTCCAAACCCCCTGCTCTCCGCCGCGCCACCTCCCCGTCAGAGGGAACTCCTCTTCCTACCAACCCACGAAACGCAAATCTCACCCGCAACCGTAGACCTCAAACAAACTTGGATCCGCCTTGCTCGGCCACCCGCCCCACGCAAATCCCCGCCACACTTCTCTCACACCCCCCTCATCCGCCGTCACCCCACCCACCTCCCACCTCGGTCCAACAAACAACCACCCACTGACCCGCTCCCACCACATGCACCGAACGCTTCCCACCCGAACCCTCTTATCTCCCACACAGCGCGATCTCAGCCTCGTATCCGAAGACCTAGACTTCGCGCCCCACATCCCCATCTCAGACCGTCCCCCACGCAGTCTTTCCCCAACACAGCAGTCCCTTCACCGCCTCCCAACCACCTCCGAAGCGCCTACCCCTCCCCCCAACGCACGACAACAGCACCGCGAAAGCCCAAATGCCTCACGAGCTCGCGCGACTAAAACTAGAACAAGCCAAGCCAGGCACCAGCCCGCCCATTTCCAATCCCACGACCCCTCACCTGCACCAACGACACCAAGCGCGGTCGGCCGTGCCGACACCCTCCCGAGGGGTGCCACCAGATCGTAAGATCCCCCGCCAGCAGCCCAACCCTACCTACCCCCCTCCCAAGTCGGGACTATCCACCCTCAATCCCGCCCAGCAAACCCAGCCTCTTTCCCCCACCCCTTCGAGAGGCGAACCCTCCATTCTTCACCCATCTCATCCGACCCCGAAGCAGCCCCCTGCCCACCCAATCTCCCCTGGACCTCGGCGACTGCCCCCAAACAAGAACCCCAGGGTCCCCAAAAGGGCACCGGAAGGATACCAGGTACCCCCTTAACCCGCCGGCGAACCACAACCGTACCACCCCAACATAACCCAAGCCACCCAAATCCGTCCCCCCGACCGACCATCGCCACCAGCACTGCCGCGACACCGGATTCCCCGAACGACTATCCCCTCTTACTGTCGTGCCACCCAGACCACCCGCGCAAACCCCGGTAGACCTCGCCCAGAGACCAACCCGGCCCGCGCAAACACCGACCCCAAACCCACCTAGCTACCCAAGTTCCAAAAGTAACCCATGACGGGAACACAACGTCAGAGTCTAGCTCCCCAGACCAGTCCGACACTCACGGGCAGAGGCCCCGCGGCGCCACGCCCTTATCACCACCCTCGAAGTAGCAGCATTCGCCCCACACACTGTGGCGACAAACTCCACCGAGCAAACGCCGGACCAGGCGGCGAACCCGCACGAGGCGTCCGAGCTCTCACCAGCCGTCACCGCCATTCCTACTCACCCCCCCGCCCTGACATCACTGATTCGCCTCTACGATGCAAACTCACCTCACTCCTACGTATCAGTTATCGCCACCCACCAACATATCCCCCTCTTCATCAACTCCTAATCTCTCCCAACCAATTCACTCTACACACCAAGGATCGCCCTCTCCACACACGTCCTACGGTAGCGGCGTCCCGGCACCACTGAGCCGCCCATCCTTAAGAGACCCAGCCTGGACCCGAAGCACCCCCAAACAAAACTCCCTGCCCCAAAGACTCCACCACCCGGCGGAGCTGCCCGAGGACATCGCCAAACAATCATTACTCCTCGAACAACCTGTAGAGTGCACCGGCCCCAACGCATCAGCCCAGCACAAGCTCAGATACTCCCAACCTCCCCCCAAATCAGCAAAAGACAGGAACCAATGCCCAAACGCAGGGTACCACCTAGAACCCAAAAAGACCTCACACCAATAGCCGACGACGAATCACCACCTACGCCCCCACGTCCAAAACGTCGCGAACCCCCAGGAATCTAAGCGCAAAACCACCCCACCCAGCCCCCCCAGAAAACAACACAACAAGGCCGACACCAAACCCACCGCACTGTAGAACCACCCTGAACCGGTGGCAGGGCACAGACACCGCCACAACGCCCTCACACCCCGCTCGGGATCTCCGCCTACCCCCCCCCGCCCAATACCCCCCAAGCCGCCTTAGATCCACAAACTCCCTCCTGTCGCCAACCGGTACCCGACACCCGCGGTCGCCGAGGACGGAACCGAACGCACGCACGGCCTCCGGCCCCACTACCCCACCTCCAATGATTCCCGAAACAGAACCAACACGATGCCAGGACGGCCGAAATCCACGGTATGGCACCTACCCAAGCCCACGTCGCACCCCCTGCGATCGTATATCCGCGTCCGCATCCCCCACGCGATCAACACGCTGACGGGACTGCCCACCCGAAACCAAGGCGCACGCCAACCGGGCCCCCCCGGGCGGAACGGCCTACCGAGCCCACCCTTCCTCCCACCCCATTTCCTCTTCCATCTCCGTCACCCACCACCCCGCTTATCCCACAGAAAAACACCAATACTCAATTTCCCCCCCGCCGTCAGACACCTCCACTCGACACCTTCAATGCGATTCAAGGCATAATCTCCTCCTCCCCCTTTCTCTCCCTCCATAGAATATCTCAACTGCGCGACTTTCTCTCCCTGCCAGCATACACAGCTCCCACCCCCATCCAACTCCTCTCCCTTTCACTCTCCTTAGGCTATCCGTTTAACACCACTCCCGACTCCCCACTGCGACTCAGCTCATATGTCATCAGTCTCCTTCTCCCCTTTCTAGCAAACGCCAGCGTCCTCCCTCACCGACCCAAAATATGATCTAGAGCCAGCCACACGCATCAGCCGAACACACTACCACGATCAACCTCTTCCCACACTGCGAGCCGCTTTCTGCATCCAAGCTCCTAGGAAACACATCGCCATCCGCACCCCCGATAAACTCGGGCCGTTAGCAGGCCCACCCCCGATTCGCGAACGAAACCCCAATTAGGGAGAAACGCCCCTGATAATAGAGTGTACGCACACACTCCGACTGACTCGTACGGCGCCAGCCGCGACAGTTCCCTAAGGCCCCCCCCTCCCCACAGGATCGCCCCTACCTATCGCACACCGACCTAACGAAGAGAACCCAAACCTCAAACAAAGCCAACCCACAGTAAGCCCCAAACAAACGAACCTCGCACGTCTCTCCGCTCATTCTTCTTCCGCCCCGACCTCGAGTCCCTCCCCCAACAAGCTTCCCTCTCAGCCGTCCCTACAAGCGGCGACCAGTCCACAAACTTCCTCCATCCCTCACTCCCCGACCCTCCCCCCGCTCAGCAACACCAATCACCTACAAACCCTACCAGGTCAACTGCCAATAGACACCCGACACCATGTATCCGCGCAACAGACAAGCCGAAACCCCAGATAGCTAAGGACACCACCCTAACATCAACCAACACGCGGATAGGAGGGCACCACAAACGTTACCAAATCCGCGGTCAAACTAAGGTGGAAGCCCCAAATTAGGCCGCAGAAAACAGCGCCCCTTCAACATAAGCCAGAGGGTCACCAGCCCTCCATCCCCCCGATCCCCGTACGAATCTCTCCCCGCCCCAAACAACCACCCAGCCCCACACCCACCCCTCCCTTTCCAGGCCACCTCCCCACTCCCTCTCCTCTCGCCGGGAACGCCTCCGGTCTCTCCACTCCGCCACCCCCACCGCGGCCCCGCATCTCCTCCCCGTCAGGCCCACCGCGACCCCGGCATCCCCCCCTCCTCATACCCACTCCACTGAGCCGTCCGCGCCCAAGAACCGTCGCCCGTCGCCGCCTCCTCCGGCTCGGGAAGCCATCCTCGCTCTCGGAACGTCCGCCCAGGACCGACCCCCCCCCCTCTCCAGCCCAGCGAAACTCGAAACTCTACACATCATCCCCTCCTCAAACCACCAACACCGATCTCCGCTCCTCACTCTTCCCCCTTCTCGCCGCCCCGCCTCCATTCTCGCCCCCCCCAGCCCCCAGACCCGGTGACTGGACGGACGCCCCCCACCACCCACGGCTCCCACTCCGCCCACGCCACCACCAACATCGCCATCACTCCATCTCCGCCCATCATGATCATCCGGACTCGACTTCCCCTCTCTCCCCCCTCGACGCACAAGCCGCACCTCCCAGCGCCTATCCAAAAACACGCCCTCCACCCTCGATCAACCCACCCACAAAACAAGAGTTACCGCACCTCGTCGGTGGTCGTGTCGCGCCACGCCGGGTTGACGAACCTGAACCCACCACACCCCACAAGAATAGCAGATATCCTCCACTCCATCCAACCCCAGCCTCGCGGAGGCTCTCTCCTATTCAGCCCCCACTATCAGCCTCCGCCTCATTTCGTGCCCCGGCACAACCCCTGGCGCCCGCACCCCACACCGAAATCAAGCGCGCCCCGGCACCACAGGCCCCCCCAAACGACAGGCTCTAGATCCGCACGCCCACAGCGCCTCAACACCGCCCCCGAACCTCACACCATTCGATCTCCCGCGGCGGCGCGACAGCCTCACCTCCCTGCGGCGCAATCAGCTCTCCCGCGACACCTCCGAACACCAGAACGCCACTCTCTCCCGCGACGAGGCCACACGCACCCCCATACTGGCCCAACGTCCCCGACCAAAAGATACCCACTGGACCCCACTCTACGGCACCGAACGCCCCTCGACTCTCTATCAAACAACCCAACGCCCCCGCCTCCTCACTCGCCACCACCCACAGCTCCGCAGACCCCCCCCACACGTTATCCCTTCCTCACCTGGACTTCACCTTCCTAAAACATCCCCGCCGGACACCCTCACCATCACCAGGCGCAAAAATCGCCACGCTCAACGCGATCCAATAAGAGGAGCTTCGACGCCATCATCCCAACGCCTGCCGGCCGGGCACGCACTCCAAGAGAGGGATGCGCAACAGCCACACCCGGTGGGAAAACCCGCACCCCACGAATTCTCGTTAGGACAAACCACCCCGGTCTCTAGCCCGCAACCCGCCCCCGACCCCACCCCAGCGACCAAACTGTTCCGAACAACATCCCCACTACATCGCAACCAGTCACCACCACATATCCTTCTCTAGCATATCGACGCGCTTCAGCCCACCAATTCTTCAATCATCCGCTCCCACACCCCCCCCGACGTCAATCCCACCAGACCCAAGACGCCGCTGTACCTCAGCACTAGCGGCCCTACGCACACGCGAAGGGATCTCCCTCGTCACCGTCTCTCCCACGGCCTGGATCAGGCGCCGCTCACGAACACTCCTCCGCCCTCACAAAAGCCCAATCGTCCCGCGCGTTCAAAAAAAGACCCAGGAAGAGTAGCACGAAGACGGAGCCCAACAGTCGCAAGACTAGCCCAACGGAAGGAGTAGGGACCGACCCGTGTACCACCCCCCCACAATCAGGGAGAAGATGCGACAACCCACTCAACCCCACATCAATCACAACGACCAAAATACCCCGCACGTCAGTCTAGACATCATATTGGTCGCAACGAACCTACAAATACGAGCCCCCAACACAGCATCCCTCGGTCCCTTCCGCCCCCATCCACGCCCACTGCGCGATGTCGCACCAGAGTACCCTCCTATATCCACACACGCCCGCCCAAAGCCCCACGCCTCCCCTCCGCGAGCCACACCTGGCCCCCACAATCCATCCTCCCCCTAGGCACCACCAGCCGACCACCGACGCTCATGCATTCCAATGCAGCACCACCCGCCCACGCCGCCATCAGCAACAGTTCCCCAGATCTACGGCCCCCCGACCGACCTAGCACCGGCACACCACCCCCCAATCTCATCACATGCACCACCTGCGGCCCCCCCACTGCGCCTGTACCCCCCCGGGTCAAAACCCGCCCACCAAGCCCACCCTGCAACGTCCATTGGTCGTCCCCCTAGGTCTAGCCCATAGGCCCGCTCGCTCCACTGGCCACCACTACCCAGGCTCCGCACCCGATTCTACTTGTAACCCATCCCGAGGAGGCTACCCCTCCGCATGCGGCCCACCTGAACACGAACAAGGTTATGCCCATACCACCGACTCCGCACCGTGACCGTCAAACGTCGAGCCCAGACGCAAACCCACCATCGATCCCCTCACCCCCCTGGCCCGTCTCTCATCCCCAAACCACCACCGGGCAAGCCACCACCCCGACTTCTCAACCGCCTCCACCGTCCGCCACCCAGTGAATCGGCCATAACGACCGGGCGTCCATGCACAACCGCCGCACCTCAGCCCCCCCCTTCTTCCCCGCCACGCTCTCATGTCCGTACCCCAAGGCCCAGACAGCATAGCTCATACTACCACCAAACACCCCGTACGGGATTTCCCACACCCACACGGGGCAGACCAAGAGAAAGCGAACAGCTTTTACAAAAGACGCAACCGATCTCCCACCGGAAGCCGTCACACCCCACTCGCCCACATCCCCACTGCCAGTACCCAACAGCCCCGGCCAACCACCACACACGCACCAACAGCGCTCCACCCCCACCTCAGTGCACAACCCCTAACGCACCCTTTTCCCTTTCCACTCCATCTCCATCCCCCCCCTCTCCCCCACCCTTCCACACACTCTCCGAAACCCAGTCTCTGGGCTCCACCCGCCCATACCGCCGCCCCTCAACCCCCGCCCTCCCCCGCAACACAAACAACGCCACTCCTGTACCCTCCCAACGCCCATAATGCACGACTGACACACGAGCAAACCCCCACTCCATGAAAGAACCAGACCTGACCCCCAGCTCCCTAACTAAGCCCCAACCGTAGCAGAACGCCCCGGACCCGGCTCCCGGAAGACGTACAATAGCACACCTCTCACCGCCACTCTGCACAGAACCAGACCAGACCCGGACTTCATTCACCCAAACCCCCTCATATATAGATCCCCCGCTCCATACACACCTGATCGGTCCACACCCAGAAACAGTACCCAACTCACAAGCCCGAAGTTGCCGCCAGCAGGCGCTCCCCCGGACAACGCAGTTGCCCCCCTTTACGGGCCCCACTGCTACCCTCGCATGCAACCCTGACACTCAAAATACCAACCCGTCTACAAACAGAGTAAGACCAAAAACAAAACACTTCCACTGGTCATCCGACCTCCAAGCCCAACCGGCAACCTAACACGCACAGCAACCAAACCACTGGCGGCCCCGCACCGAACGGCAGCCGTCCTTACACGGCCTCCACCCTACCGCTCCAAAACAGGAACTCCGCTTCATAAAGTCCTGATGACCCCTCAGAGCCAACCACGCCTCCCCCCATCCGAGAACCCCCATAGCATAGACTCCCTCTCACAGCACATCACCCTCCCCTTCCCCGCACATCTCCCGACTACTCGCCCACAAACCCACCCCCAACAATGTACGGCTGCTCCGAAAGCACGGGACGCACGGCCCACATGAAATGCTAATGCCCCGCACGCGAGCGCAGGAACGATCAACCCGGCTCTGAACACAAATCCCGTCGGCCACCCGTCTTTCACTCCTCCACCCACCCTCAAATCTCCCGGACCCGCTAGCCCACAAACAGTGCTCCACCGCAAAATCCCCGACAACCGAGCGGCCCAGCCCCACAATGCTGCACCAAGCAATGCGTACGTTTGAACAACCTCTCTAAGCCGCCCGCAAAAAAACCCCGCTCATCTCGGACCCGAATGGCGCCGTCACAGACGGCGAGCGGTCAACCTGGTAAGACTCCCCGCCACTTCACTCACACTCCGCCACAAAAGAGAAGAAAACACCACCTCCCCCACGTTCACAGGCCAACAAACCCCTCCCCGACGCGGCACCCACATGCCACCGCCAACAAGACCCCCGTAAACAACCTTCGCGCTGGCCCCGCAAGTCGCCACAACGCCCGAATCCACAACCCGCTCCGCAATCTCTCTCTCCTGAATTCTCCCCTTCCACGGACCCACCCAATCTTCAATCTCGACGTCCTCCGAAGCCCGTCTCGGCCGCAACCATCCCATCCACCTCAAGCAGCACGATGGGCAGTAACCTCCCTTGCAATCAGACACAACCATGCGGGCCGAACGAACCAACCACACAGCATCGGCCCCCCGGGGCCTCGCGAGTAATAATCAAGAAGAGCTGCACCCTCCCGCAACCAGGCGCCCCGGGACGCCCAGTGCAGCAATACCACCCTCGGCCACCCTCAACAGCGCCACACACGCGCAACGACAGATCCCCCAAATGTGGTCCTCCCCCGCCATCACTAGACGCAGCAAGGGGACCAGGCCCACGAGCGACGGTCCCCACGGCGACCCCCAATACACCCCACCTCGACCCTTCCGCAACCCGTCTCAGCACCCGCACACTCGGTCATCCCCCCCCCTTCGGGCTCCCCATCAACCCCCAGCGACACCGACAGACTTCGCAGCTACGGAGCGCATCGAGAACCTGTATCGCAAACCCCCCTCCTCCTCCCCCCGCCATCTCAGCCGCCGCCTGGCAACTCCCAGAAAAGCCCAACCCAGACGGCAGGCAGAAGACGCCCAGTCAGCGACCATCCGGTAAAGAGGCCCCAGTAACCTAATGACATTCTGGCGCAAACGGCTCCTTCCACCCTCCCCCCCACCCTGATCCCCGCCTCATCAGTCAAGCCAGGCAACAAAACGGCGACCCTCACCGACACCCCCCCCCCTTCTATCCCCCCCTCAGACTCCTTTCCAAGACAAAGTCCCACGGCCCCACGACCCCATCCTCCGCTCCTTTCCTTTGCTCCAAGCCACACAGACAACTCGTACGATTCTCTCCCCGCACACTCTACTTAGTCCCGCACCTCACCCCTCTACTCCGATCCCCCCCCCAACCTCAGTCCTCCCCAACCGATAAGGACCCCCGGAAGGACACAGCGGCACATAACAGGGACCAAGCACCAGACACGTCTGCCATCCCTGAGGCCGTCGCGGGCAGCATGAGGCCACCCCTCCCATGGACCCCAGCAAAAGAGGTTGAGCCCCACCGACAACCCCGGGCGGGCGTTACGGCGCCGCCCAAGCAGGCCACGAGGCCCCCGCAAAGCAGAATAGAATCCGCACGCACACGAAAGTAGAACTTACGACCCTAACCACGTAACAAGCCCCGGAGAGGCAACTAGGAAAATGCAGGACGCGAATAGTCACCGACACGGCGGGAGCGGCCAACATAAGGACTGGACAACTCAACATGCATACAGGACTCGGACGACCAAAAGTGATGGAACAGAAAAACAATCCAAAGAATCAACGAAGGCAGTGAGAAAGCAGAAAGAGGGCCTAAGATTTAAGCTAAGAACAACCAAAGCCGCCAAAACCAACCGGCCGAACGCGGCGCGAAGCATGCCCGAGGGAACCCAGCGCCGAGGCCCGACCCCAAAATCACATGACGATATCCCCCGTCCAATCCCTACCATTGCCACATAACGACGGACCATGTACCCCTACCGCCAATTAGCCAAGCACGAAGCACCATGACCCCAAGCACTCGTATGATCACTCATCCCAGCGCCCCTCCCACGCTCTGACTTTCACTTCCTACCAAGTTCATCCCTAATTCCTCACCCAGCCCCCACCCCGTCCCCCGATCAGCCGCGCCCATACGACAAATCCAGCCGCCACCCGGACCGTACTCGACACAGGAGGCGCCGCCCACGTGGATGAGAACAGTCCCCCCCATACACCCCCCTCGCTTAATCGGCGAACCACTCCACTACACTACACAGATATCCATCCCAACGTCACAACGACATCCCGCCTCCCGCCTCTCATCCCCGCAAACCCCCCACCCACCAACTTCCCTCTCGCAGACCACCCCCCTCAGATCGCCCGTCTGTCCATCGAACAGCCCGAAATCCGCACACCCCTCACACAAAATAAATCCCGGAAAGAAACTCTCCCCATACTGCGGCCAAACAACCCGAACCCACCCTAGCAGTCGCCCAAGACGCCACCCGCACCCCGACAACTCCAAAAACTATGCCCACTCCCAATACCAATATACAACAACCACACGACCCTGCTACAAGACATAACCCAACGGGCCGTCACTAATTCCCCCATGAAAATCTCTCCCCTGTCCACTCCCTGCCAACACATCCCCCCATCCCCGCCCCCGCACTCCCCCGTCCCCCCCGCACATAATCCTCCAACACCCCGGCCCAACCTTACCCCCCGGCCGCCCAGATCCTCCCCCCGCCCCCCCCGCCTCCCCGACTCCTCATCGTTCACAACCCACCGGCATCCCCCTCCCCCACCCTCTTCCAGTACTTCTCCTACACACCGACCTCCCACCCCACCCCCTCTCCACACCGCCCCGAACACTCCACCAGCTCTCTCTCGTCCCCACCCTCACCGCAACGCCGCCCACGAACAGGAACTCACCCCTCCACGACCCGCGGCGCACAACTCAACACAAGCCACCTAAGAGCTCCCCGAAGTCGACCGCTGATCCAACGCATCTCAACCCCCTACTGATTTTCCGCCTATCATCGTTTCTCGCCAGATCGCCTCCAACATCCCCCCACACCAAACCACAGGGGAGCGGCGCTCCGACGAACCAAAACCCGACACCTCAGGCCATCGATGAAGCCCGAAACGCCGACACACCTCGGCCGCCACAACAACCTCCCGCCGATGAAACACATCACTCCACCACACCAGTCAAACCCGCCGCGAACGTGCACCCATGCCGCGCAACATAGCACACCTCAAGTCTGCCCCCTTACAAAGCGCGCAACCCCGCAGATATGTACCCGTGCTCCGACTACCCCGGGGAGCCAACAGAACAGTGGCTCAAACCAACCGAAAAACCAACAGACCTTACATTGCACGAACAGCCCCAAGACCAAACTCGGACCCCCAACTGAATCTCAGCATAGGAGCGCACCCCCCGATTTTAACGGAACGACGCAACACACGCCACACCTCAGCCGACGACGCGCTATCCCAACCACCCGCGCAACACCAAATGTCCCACTCTGCACGGGGCTCAATCGAGACTCACCCCAAGTCTGAAACCCGCTGTCCGACCCACTACGACAAGCGGCGTCCACAGCAGCGACTTGCACGTACACGGGATGCACGCAACAGAACAACCGCCAACCGACCCCACATCCCCATACGCGCGAATCTGGCATGCACACCCAGACCAGAACTAAACTGCACAACCGAGCATGCCCCCCCCCACTACACGTAGAACCCCCCCTTTTCAGCCCAGCTAAGCCACTCACGCCATAGGCCAGCAGAATCTTCACCATTCGGCGAGCTCAACGTACAGACTACAACACACCCCACGCCCTGAACCGGACCCTCCAGTCATCTCCCGGTCCCGAAGACCCTCCCCCTCCCGACACTGCCCCCCAGCAATGACCATACTAAGATTCCAAACCAGACCAGGACACCCAGCTGAGATCAACAGACCAGGATAGGCGAATGCCTCTCTTACAATAAGCCGAACCGATGCGCATACCACACAAGAACAAATCCAAAAATCGACTTCGGAGACACTAGCCCTCCGAGATAGAGAGTCGCCAGATGTAACCGCCCAGCCCGATCCACTAAGCCGACCCCCACACACATCCGGACGAAACAGCCAGGCCACCCCTTCCAACGACCTCCTTATCTACTTCTTCACCTCTCCCCCCACCGTGCGGCATGGAGTAGGAAACCATTGAGCACAAGCAGACCCCCCCCCAAAGCCTCGCGCCTCATGGACTGTGACCCGATAGCCGGACTTCACCAAGAGCGCCCAACCACCACACCTCACCAAACCCAAGGCTCCCTCCGCCACACCCACAACCACCCCTCAACTACACCAGAAAACCAGCCAGCGCGACCAACAGATTCCACACATCAGAGCACCCCGCTGACCCGTAATTTCGGCTACACTAGAGCCCACCCGAGACACCCCTCACACACTACCGTCAGTCGCGCAAATCATCAAACCACACAAACCTACCACTCCTAGGCGACCACCGCCACAGCACAGGAGAAGCTTTCACCCCCGATGACCATAAATCTATTCTCCGCCAGACACCTAAACCGTCAAAACCCAACCACTGCACTAACCCCCCCTAGAGCGCGCTAAAAAGTCAAAACCACCAAAAAAGCCTATAAGGCCGCGCACCGGACAACCTGCCCACCTACCTCGTACCCCAGAGATAACACCAAGATGAGGCACCTCGAGTAAGAACCCTCGTAGTAGAAAAACCAAGCAGCCGGACCACCCCTGGACATCAAGCCCACCACCCCTACAACCGGCCAGAAAGCACTCCAAGCACACTGCTCTGGTGCCCCGCGCGCTCAACACTAACCCCCGCCAGCTCGCTCTGCCGCAGCAAACGCATCAGAACGTACTACTCACCACGACGACCACCCCACAAAAAGGAACACCCAGACCACCACACAGTCCCCGCGCACAATTTCCCGGCATGCCACAGATAATCAGACCCCCGAGCCGGCGAATCGACCCCCCCATCTCACCCTCCATCCCGTCCGCTCATTGCGATCTCGAGCTTCTTCTATCCCTTCCGGTGGGGGGGGGGGGACGTCTCTTTTTTTATCCTAGTTTCTTATTCTTCCTCTTTTGTCGTATTCTTTACTCTATTCTTTCTTTCATTGTTTTTTAAATTCATTTCTTTTATCTCTCTCCATTCCGGAGGATCTCTCTGTTCCTTACACTTTTTTATCTAGGCATTTCTCTATTCCATTAGATTGATTTGTAATTTGTTATGATCTTCGTCGAAGCGTTCCTTTCTCTCTTCTATCTTTTTTTTCTATTATTTCTTGTTCTCTCTCACGTTCTTTTCCCTAATGTCTGTCTTTCTCTAGTCTCATAGGGTTTTTCCTTTATTCTCTTTCCTCCATGTCTCGTTCTTCTTTCGAGCTGTCTAGTGTATCTGCCTTGTTTCACGGGGATATTCTCCTTCTTTGTCATCTATACCCCTCCCTCGGTGTCTTCTGTCTCATTCAGATGATCTTCGTATTATCTCTACTCTACTCTGCTCGTTTCGTATGCCTCTTTAGAATTGGAGACTAACTCACTTAATTCGTTCTCTATTCTTTGTTCTTCAAGCCTCTACTCTTCTTTCTTCTACTTAGCGGTCTCACTAATGGTCTCTTTTTGTTCTCTTCGTCTGTCTCTCTGTATTTTTATATCTTTCGTTTCGGATGTCAGGGGGTTCTCTGCTTACACTCCAATCCTTACTATCTCTTCATTTGTCATCTATTTCGTTTGATTTTTTATGCCGTCTTTCACTTTTCTTCTTCTTTCTTCTCAACTGTCTTTCCTCTCGTACTATTATTCTTCTCATCTCTATAAGCTTCCTCACTCGGTCATCTCTATCTATCTATCTTTTCTGTCTTGTAATTATTCTTTTCGCAATATCTATTCTTCTTCACTTATAAGTTTTTCTCCTTGTGCTTTCGACTCTCTATTCTCTCTCTCTCTATTCCTCTTCTTACACTTATTTTCTAATAATCTCTTATCTCATTACTTCTTTTTATTCTACTCTTTTCTTGTCTCCATTATCTAATTCTAGTTGTACATCGTTATTCTCATGTCTTCTAATTCTCTCAGGATTTGTATTCTATATTGGTCTCTATCTCAGCCTTTTTTATCTTCATTCTTTATATTTTCTCCTATCGGTCTTCTCTTTTTCTGCTATTGTAGATTTTTATACCTTCTTACAGTATCTAATCATCTGTCTCTCGTTTCTCAGATTCTTCTATCTCTAGTTGAGTTTTTTTGTTTCTTTCTTTTTTTCTGTGGTAGACTCCTCTAGTGTCTCTCACTCTTTCATTCCTTATCTTTAGAGTTAAGTTATCTCAGGTGGATCTTATTCTTTTAATTTATCTCTCTGTTCTCTCTTTGTCGTTATTTATTAGTCTTTCTCTTCTAAT